CCTGCTGAAGTCCTGTATTTAAAGGATCGAGTTAGGTAGGTTGGTGGGTTTTTTTAGCAGTGTGATACAGGTTCTTGCCAACAGAGAATGACAAAAAACAAAGAGTGTGGGGAATGGGAATTTTAATATTTTACTAGATTTTTAAAAGGGCCAGGAAAACGTGCGACAGTAGTAATGAAATTTCACATTGAAATAGTAAGAGTGGTGAACCCTCTTTACCTGGGATTTAAGGTTGTTGTACCTGTATGTACTTTCAGAACTCCTAACCCGTGAACTTGGCCTGACCATCTATTGCTTTTCATACTTACAGTGCTAACAATAGCATGAGGGAAAGACACGTAATAACATGACTTAATACCAAGAATGACCACAGGTTGCTTGCTGAAGCAGGGAGACTTTGCAGTTCTTCAGAAAATTCAGGACTGTGACTTGCACACATTTTCCCTGTGCTTCTCAGTACTTAACATCTGTGTTTTACAGCTCTGTGGCAGTAGGACTCAAGAACAGAAATTCAGAGTAGGAACCCAATTAACCTAAAGATTTCAAAATTCCACAGCAGCATGCTGAAGCTCTGTCCTCACCTTGTTTCTCCACATTAGATCTTCCAAGAAATGTCACTTAAAAATCACGTAGACAAAGCCACTGCTAGACAAAATCCAATCCATTCCATTTTATTCCCACATCTTTAGCAAATACCACAATTACAGAAGTAAATGGGTAACATATTCTGAATGTTAAAAGCTGCAGGAAGATCCCTAGTAAGGATTTGTTGAAAGAAAATTGCCACTCATAACGTTAGGCTAAATTTGCACTGGAACTTTACTCGTTCACTTTCCTGTTGCTGCAGAAGGATTGCATATTCAACATGTAAAGACAGTACAAATTGACTTTGAGGGAGAAAGACAATTAGCAGCAACAAATACACTGCTTCGCCATACATTCATTATTTTAATATTCTTGCTTACTTTCTGCCAGGAACTGAAAAACATATCCATGGGGAATCTGATAAGCCAGGCAATGAGGCAACCATCTCCTGGGAATCCTCAGGGTATTTCCAGATCATCTACATAAGAAACCTCAGGAATGCAATTCTATTATCACCAGGCTTAAGTCAATAACAAATGGCACCCTTGCCACAGCCCTGTAAATAAAACAAGTGAAGTGGCACGCTGCTAAGCCAGAACTAAGGAACTGAAAAAGTTATTCTATTTGAAATAAGTTTTTTCCTGTAAAAAGTCAAGCAACTTTGATTTTTTTCAGTTAGTTTAAAATCCAGCCACACTCCTGGATTTATTACGTCCAGAAACTCGGCAGAAAATCTGTATATTAGGGTCCTGCTCAATATAGGCTATCAATTTTGTACTTTGAAAGACTCATGCAGGCATCCATTATTCTGCTTCAGAGACAGCAATAATGTTTCTAGCACATCTTTTGGAAATTCTCCTTTATTTCAGTTAAATCCTATTAGATGTTCTTTCCAGAATGGAAGATTCTGCAGTTTCCTAAAAGCTGTTATAGAAACTTTTGCTTGGCAACACCCTTTATTTTATAGGCTCATTTCTAAAGGCAGAGTCACGTTTTCTGAACTGTCGTCTGCAATGTCTCAAATGGCACCTTTCTGCATAAATGAAAGCTTGGGAAATCTTTCAGCCACAGGAAGATGCATAGGTCAGACCCCGGAACGCAGATGTTTTAACGATAATGTAAAACTCTTTAAAACACAGTTGCTGTAAGGAACCAGGACCCTTACTACAGAATTACGATATGAATAGTTTTTACTGTTCCAAACCTCTTGAGTAGGCATCGATGTGACACCTTAGTTTAGTAAATTAAAGTGCAGAAGACTACAATTCTATCAAGTGATAATTTTCTTCTTTCAATCAGATAGAGGTACCATCAGGGAGTCTTCGAGCCTGACCAGTTTTAACGGAGTTAAGTATTTATATGCAAGCAGTTTTCAGTCATCTGAACAATCAAAAAACGTTCCTCCAACATCCCTAGTGATGATCAGGAAATCACTGGGTTGTGCTCACTGTGACTAAACAGTTTCCTAGCACATACAAGCAGTACGGAGTTATTTTGGTTTTGTAACAACCCACAGACGTCTCAAAACGCGCTCTCAAGAAAAGCACGTGCTTTGTGGGTAGTTTGCAAAGTACAAGAAAACGCTAAGTAGCCCAACCAAACTTACTCTTGTGCATCTTAGGATTTCATTCGCACTTCTGTTTTTAAAGGTGTCCTGAGGTTCTCTCTCGTTCCAAATCACTTAGGCTAAATTCTTTGGGAACTTTCTCACCCTTGGAGCTCTCTTTAAGGCCCACCTATTTCTATTAATTGTAGACACATGACTCTCCACAGTCTTGAAAACCATACTCTCATTAGAAGAGCTATCATGCAAATCTGGTCTCAGAATAGCCACAGAGCAATACTGACTAGAATCAGCAAGACATTTTTACACTTACTGAAAAAATAACAGGTATGATCACAAAAAAAATTCCAAGACAACACTTGGGTTGAAGAAGAGTTTTGAGTTATGATCAACTCCTTTGGTCCCTCAAGTCAAGAGGTGCATTTCCTTACTGTGGGCCACAACCACTGCCTGCAAGACTGACAAAGTCCCAAACAGAAATGTTGTATGCCACTAATAACCATGGAGACGACACAAAGAAGGCGGCAAGTGAGAAAGGGCAGGTTTTATTTTAATGAAATAACATATGTGAAAGCATGAGGAACCCATTTTTGTTGTTATCTCCAAGAACACTGAAAGCCACTGGAATTAACACCATCATCACCAAACTTCATTGAAAGCTGTTCCAGCAGCCTCTCCTATTGTCCCTAAGTAGTTATTAACCAAATAAAGACATTTTCTCAACGAATTGGGCATCCACCTTTCAAATGCTCACTACAGCAGCTTCCACTTGCTCAGAGTGAGAATTCTTCACTGAGATCCTCTCTGGAGAATTTAGTGACCCATGTTCTCCTTAAAGTGCTGCACACACACACACACACACACACACACACACACACACACACACACACACACACGCGTCACTGGTGTCACTAGAGAAGCACTTTTCAGTGCTTAGACACTCTGTTTCAACAGATAGGATCTCGTACGTGTTGTTATGGATATGTTGTGTATCTGCCCAGATTTGCAGAGCATTAGTAAAAGGATTACAAAGCAGGCCTGAACAAAAGCCATTAATGCCAAGGGAGAGGATTTTTGTTTTCCTGTCTTGATGTCTTCCTTCTGTCAGCTAGCAGCACAGACTGATTGTTAATGCTAAAGTCCATCAGAAAATCAGAAGCTTCTCATAAATACTACGGACAGCATGAAGCTGTCAGCACAAAAGCCCTACAAATATGGAAAGGGGCAATTCTGCTCTTTGGCAGTGCCTCAGTTTAATTGCTCTGAAAACAAAAGATACTGTGGTAGCTTTAGAATAGACTGACAAGTGCAGGTGCCTACTTACTTGGTAGTGTAAGGGATACAATTAATACAATACAATTAATTAAAACAGACAAAACAAATAATTTTTCTTTTATTTGTACAGATGCCGTGTGTTGTTTTCAGTAGGAACTTAGTGCAGCCCCTACCAGAACTTCACACAGTAACTAGGTTAGCACTGAAATACCTTCTGTACCCATGTAAATCACTGAATTACAGTTTTACTTAAAGAAAGCTAAGTGTTTCCACAATTAAATGCCAAAATAAAAACAAGACCTATTATCTTTTGTTAACAAAAATGACACTGAGAATGTAGTAAGTCGAGAACGTAGAAACACTCCCTGCCAGTGGTTTTAATGCACTGGTGTCTTTAGCAAATCCAACTGCAGCGAACGCTCTCATGCACTGCATTTAATTTTGGTGGACTTGCAAAAACCATTTCAGCAATACATCTGTAAGAGTGACCCCTTGTGCAAGCTAGGCATGTCACGAGCACAACCTCAACCTACCTTCATCA